CACCCTGAAAGCTTTTCTTATTGTTAAGTCAAGCTCTTACACAACTAATGATTAGTAGAAATATTTCTGGAACTTCGTTTTTACTTTATTGCCAGTCATGACATTTGATTTTAAACATAAATGTTCTCAGCTTGGTTTCATCCTTGTTCCTTTCCTCCTCCTCTTTGCTGCAGTCTTTGGTGATCGTGTTGATTTCCACCCATTCCCCGAGTCTTTTATTTATATACCATTTTCTGCACCCAGATGTTTATGTACTAAAACAGATTGTGGTTTTTGCTTTTTCCCTGGGTAACACTATTACATCTGTATTTAGGTTTTTGCTGCTGTTGTTGTTTTCAAGTGTGTGCTGCCATCTATGGAGTAACCACTGAAATAAAGCTGATATAAAAAGATGTTTTATCAAAAGATTATGGAAAACAAGATCTAGCTAGTGGAGGAGGTATCATAGGGCAGTTGGCCAGATCTCAAGACATCCTGTTTCTCTGGAGTCCCGGATCTCACAGCAGGTGAAAAGGTGAAAGTATACTGTTTAGAAAATCAGCAACTTCTAGGAGTTAAGTTATTCAGTAGATTTATTTATACTGGACAAACTTATCAGGGCAGCCTGAAAATTAGAATAAGGTTGCTTTGTCCTCTAATCCTTTAAGCCATTCCTTTTCCTTCCTTTACCTTTCACTGTCATAGTCCTTCAGCAGTTTCCAAGATGTGTTTATTATACCTTTCTTCATTTGTTTTTTAAAGCTTTATTTTAATTTCTTACTCTTCCCCAGCATCTTGTTAACTGGCTTCATGCCTCTCCCCTGTGTCCAGTTTCAGCCAGACAGGTTCCAGGTTTCCCTCCTTCAGGTTCCTTTAGAATGCAGTACTGAAGATCAGTCCCCATTCTCTCTCTCTTTCATGACATTCGGTTGCTTGATACCTGTTTTAGAGTATACATTTATTGCAACACATTTATTCAATTGGTCTGGAAAGCACTTGGAGAAGTAATTTTCTCTGTACTTTTATGAAGTGCCCGTGGGACATCTGTGCACGCATAGAAGCTATCAGCTTTTATCTTGATACTGTTCATATGCTTTTCAGCTTACAAATTTTTGACTGAAGATTTTAGCACCGTACAGCCTTGGATAGGGTTAGGTATATGAGTTCCTGGCAATCAGATTGCTATTCATTTGAGTTAGGAGATGTGACAGAGAACAAGTATATCTTTACGTCTTTCCTTGTCAACAACAGTGTTGGAGTGGGGGTATATTTAACCACTACTGCATAAATGCTTTCTTATAACACAAGGCATCAGAATCAAGAGGAAAAGTTTAACCTGTATGGATGAAGCATTCTTAAAAATATCTTCTGACATTTTCTTCTTATTGCTGAACTTAGAAATTGATCTTATTTCCCAGCATCAGAGACAAGATGAAGAAAAAAAAATCGATGCTCAAGATTGATCAATGGTTTTCAAAACTGACTTAATAAGATAAAAATCAATGCAGCTTTATTCTTTGCCATTATTTTATCACCAGTATCATTCAAACATGGTAATATTTGATTCCTAAGTTAAATGTGAAAATATTTCAGTTACCTCCTACAGAGGCAAAAAAAAAAAAACTTAAGGAGGAGGGATTTATTTAGTCAAACTTTGGTTTTCTTTTTAATCCTAATTTTGGAACTTTGAGTTTTACAGAAACTGAAAACAGTTTCATATTTTAAGTGCCAGTATATAATTGTTCCTTTAATCACAGAGATTTAAATAGAACAAATTATTACTTGTATTTGCAAATTACAAGCTCTGATACTCCCTCCCTCCTGCAAATAGCAGTTCCATCTTGCTTGGTTGAAAGATCTGTACTCAAAAACTTGAAGATAAGCTTGGGCACCTAATTTCCCCTGTGGCAGACTAGCAGTGCTTTGACTTTAGAGCCTTCCTGTGCAAATGCATTGGCTGATTAATCTTTTTTGGCAAAAATGGGCTGGTCATTTGGGTTTTTTTGTTTGGTTTTTTCTCTCCAATGACCATTTCCCTTTTCTATCCCTACTGCCCCCAATAATACTAAGGTCCCTTACTGATCTATTTAAAGAAAAGTCTTAAAAACTGTCTTGTGTAATATCAGTGAACCAATGCCTAAGCCATGAGTTTGACTTAACAGTTGAGAGGTTTTTTAAAAAATAATTTGCATTTTAATATTTTAATTCCCGTGTACTTGCTGTCTTGGGTTTACCCTTTGGGCTTCCTAGTTTGAAATTTCTCTTAAGAAGTAAGGGCTAGAAGATGTCCTTCTAGGGAAGAAAGTCAAGATTCTCACATAATCACTGGGATGTGTGAACTGAGATTTTTAGGGAAGTATCAGACAGTGAAAGACTCCTGATAAAACCCTAGATATTGGCAAGCCGCTGGTAATGACGTGTGCTGTTTTAAAGTTTTATTTCATGAGAACAGACAGACAGATTTCTGCATAAATATCTTATTGAATTGAATCCCTACCTATAAGCTGGGCCAGAATATCATAAAACAGGAAATGCAAACCTAATAGTAGGTAGACACAGTTTTTGAGAATACGGGACTGAATCAGGTTCTCTGTTGGGCCAGTTACTTTTACCTCACTTTTTCATATTCCTTATTCCTTTCTTATTCATTAGTTAATTGATAAATGTAGTGAGTTTGCTACTCTCCTTGAGTAGCTCTGAGCAGCGATGGGTACCTTCATTGGGAACAAACAGTCCCACCCCTTCATTCCCTCCTTCATCATAAGCTTCATTATAAGCAATTATCTGTGATCACATAACAGGAGAGCTTGTACTTGTACCTCTTCTCTCCCTTTCCTCCTCCCTCTGTACTGTGAGAGAGAAGGAGCATGGCATATTGCTAAAAGGTTATCAGGCCTGAATTTGTTACACCTCTGAATTTGGCAGGCGAGCGTTCACAACCACTATAGAAATACATGGCTCATCACCACATGAAGCTGG